AGAAAAACAATCTGTGAAACTCATCTCTCAATCCATTCTTATAAATGTATGCATGCATGCAAAAACTTCTGTAAGAGTGGTTTTATGAATGACTTGCATTTCACGAATGAGGCGCAGTGTTCCTAATAAAATGGTCTAAGCAAAGATGAAAACAATGACTAAACTTTAAGTACTAGCTGATGAACAGAGAATCAAGCATTTTCTTTATGCAAACTTTAATTTGAAATCTCATTAAGCAGAATTATGACAATGTACTGATGTGTTCATGGTCATGATGTAATGAAGTGATTTTATTTCATGCATGAAACAAGCGTTGGTTTAGTATTATTTGTATAGTATGTATACTTGTATACTATTTGTTAATTATTTGATATAGCTTTCATTTTATATTTTCAATTTTTGATGTTATAGTTTCACATTGTGTTATTTTAGTTTCATTTTAATATATATATATATATATATATAATTTTCATAGTAATTTTGTTATGTGCTTTTATTATTATTATAATTTTTTTTATATTTCTATTAGGCTTTAATTGGTTTTTCAATTTTAGTTTTAGTAATTGTAGTACTTAAACTTGTCAGTTAGCTGCTAAGGCAACATAAATTTTTTTTATTTAATTTATAAGTTTTTTAAGTTTAAGTGCTTCATCTAATATTCATATTTTATTTTATTTCACTTATTTCGATTAACAAAAAATATTTTTAATAGATTTATATTAACTTTTGTTTTTACAATTTTGAGTTTAGTAATTTTATGTGCTTTTGTAATTTCTATTCGTTTTTTAATATTTCTATTTAACTTTATTTTCCAGGTTTGGTTTTAGTCATTGTAGTACTTTTAAACATTTATAATTTTCGTTTAAGTTAAGTTGTTTTGCCTAATATTTATATTTAATTTAATTTCAGCTTTATTTCAGTTAAAAAAAATTATTTTGAATAGTTTGAGTCAAAGTTATTTATGTAGATTTATATTAGTTTAAATTTTTACGGTTTCAAGTTTAGTCATTTTGTTATGTGCTTTTGTCTTTTTTTATATTTCTATTTAGCTTTATTTTTTAGATTTAGTAATTGTAATACTTTTAAACATTTATCATTTTTGTTCACATTTTTAGGCGTTTCATCTAATATTTATATTTTATTTAATTTCAGCTTTACTTGAGTTCACAAAAATTATTTTGAATAGATTTAGTCAAAATGTACAATAACAGCACTTCATGAAATGTGCAAAAAAAGAAACTTCATATGCATGTTATGATTTTACAATCGGTGTTATTTCAGTATAATTGAGATTATTTTGAACCGTTTTTATTTTAAGATTTTTTCAGGGGTTTTTTTTGTCATTTTATTTTTCAGTTTTAGTTTTCAAACTTGAGGTTGAGTAAGAACACCTGAAATATTTGTCAGTATCAGATATGTCCTCTCATAAGTATTTAAGTGCTACATAAGTAAGTGAGGAGCTTATCAGGCAGTAGATTAGCTGACAGAAGTGTTCACGCTACACAACGCCTGATATAATCAGTGTGTGGTCAAAATAATCAGATAGCGATTACAGAATGAAAACAGCCAGAAGGAGACTGCATTTCTGAAATGATCTACCTGAATGTGAGCTTCATCTCAATGATTATAATTATGATAAGGACTCATTAAACAGCCATCAATCATCAGACGTGGTTAAGAAGCTGCTTCTTGCTTGTTTAAACCATGCATGCAATACAATCAGAGTGTTATATAGTACATCCAATGCATTTTGTAAATGTAATGCTTGCTTAAAAACAAGATATGCAGAGTTGACATGCGATTTAACACAATTGCTGACAATTTAGGAATTATAAAAATCATTTATTGTCCTTTAACCTCTTGGAATACAAAATAAAAACAGCATTGAGTGTCTCCACAGCTGCTGGTTTACAGAAGAGCTTGAGTTCAGTTTCCTAGACACCGTTATCATAACATTTGACATAATTTAGCAGACGCTTTTATCCAAAGCTGTACAACAATAGAAGTTACATTTTAAAGTCAACATGATTCATAATTCATATTTCTGGTTTCATCGCTATGGACACTTTTTTTTCTGCAAGGGGATAAAAAATAAAAGGTAATTGTGTCTTTTTAATCTCACAATTTTGACTTTATATCTCGCAATTCTAATTTCTTTCTCCCAATTCTGACTTTGTATTTCACAAATTTTTTTTTTTTTTTGTATTTTTTGCAATTCTGACGTTATATCTTGGAATTCTATTTTTTTTTATCTTGCAATTCTAACTTTATATCTCACAAGTAATTTTTTTTCTCGCAATTCTGACTTTTTTCTCACAATTTCAATTTTATTCTCCTATTTCTGACTTTATATCTCACAATTCAAATTTTTTCTCACAATTCTGACTTTATATTTCGCAATAAAACATTTTTTTGCAATTCTGAGTTTATATCTCACAATTCAAATTTTTTTTTTCGCAATTCAATTTTTTTTTCCTCAAAATAGTTTTTTTTTTCCGCAATTAAATTTTTTTTTCTCCTATTTCTGACTTTATATCTCACAATTCTGACTTTTCTCCTAAATGTCTTGCTTTATATTTCGCAATTCAGAATTTTTTCCTGCAATTCTGATTTTTTTGTTGCAATTTTTACTTTTTATCTTGCAATTAAAAATTTTTTTTCTCAAATTCGGACTTTTTTTTCTCACAAATCTGACTTTTTATATTGCAATTCTGTTTGTATCTCACAATTCTGACCTTTTCTCCTCCAATTCTGACTTTATATCTCACAATTGTAATTTTTTCTCACAATTCTGACTATATTTCGCAATAAAAAAATTTTTTGCAATTCTGAGTTTCTATCTCACAATTCAAATTTTTTCTTTCAATTCAAATTTTTTTTCCTCACAGTTCTGATTTTTTTTTTTTTTGCAATTCTAACTTTATATCTCACAATTACATTTTTTTTCTTGCAATTCTGACTTTTTTCTTACAATTAAATTTTTTTTCTCCTATTTCTGACTTTGTCTCACAATTCTGACTTTTTCTCCTAAATGTCTTGCTTTATATCTCGCAATTCTGAATTTTTTTGTTGCAATTTTGACTTTTTATCTCACAATTCAAATTTTCTTTCTCACAAATCTGACTTTTTATCTTGCAATTCTGTTTGTATCTCACAATTCTTACCTTTTCTCCTCCAGTTCTGACTTTATATCTCACAATTCTGACTTTTCTCCTAAATGTCTTGCTTTATATTTCGCAATTCAGAATTTTTTCCTGCAATTCTGATTTTTTTGTTGCAATTTTTACTTTTTATCTTGCAATTAAAAAAATTTTTTCTCAAATTCGGACT